TGTTAGACTGATCCCCCAGCCCCCAGTTCCCAGCACCTCTAAGCCTTCTAATAAATCCAGACTCGCCAATTGTAGGCCAGCTGTTGAGTTGTGCCATGATCACAGACTGATGTGTGAGTTAATGTGAGCACAGGCTGTGGGCTGAACACACCACTTCCACACACAATGAACCACCCAGAAGCCCCTAAAGTGTCTAATCCTTTCCCACCATTGTTCAAATATTCCTGTGACTACGAATGGCAACCATCATTCATATGATTCCAATTTTCGTTGCTAGTGCTGTAGTCGAGTGTAGTGATGACCGCTCTGGTTTGGTTTCCCTAGTACCTGTTTTTGCCTGAGAAAATGCTGGCCTCCTTCACCCCGTGGTGTTTTTCAAATGGTTAGAGCCTTCTGTTGATGTGACTTACAAAGCCAGGATAGCAGTCCTCTCCTGCCAGGCTGTTCTCTTTTTAAGAGGTTTTTGACTAACCTTGGTGCAATTTCCAATTAGGCCTGCAGACTTGTTAAACCTACAAAGTAACTCTCAGCTCTCTTATCTTTGCCAAGTTGTAACCTTTTAGAGGAAGTCTCGTGTATTTTTTTCAATCTGTGTCACTGTTCAAATTAACAGGCATATAGATAGTAGGATCCACATAGATGAAGTCATTGTTTGTTTTCGGATTAGCCTGCTCACATCGTTTTCCAACTGGATGATTCTGACCAAAAAGGAGATTGTCACATTGAATCACAGCCCAAGACCACAGAAGGCAGTATTAAAACATTGAACAGATATTTTCAGTGCAATCCGTTAATTATTTCTGCAGTTGTCTGCTTCCTTTTTTTCATCTCAGACAAAAATTTTGTCAGACTGAGTCTCAGCTTTTTGTTGAGAGATGTGTGAAAAGTAAGAGGAGGAAATAATTCAATTGAAGAACTTGATGTACCAGCCGTAATGGCTGCAACATTGTATAGTTTTGTCCTGCACTATCATTGCCTTCAATGATGCCAAGTTAATTTGAAGAGACATTTGGCAGATGGCTGTCTTCTCTCTTGAATGGATGTGAATAGGGATATTTTGCCCCTTTCCTTTATTTTCTACTGATCTCTAAGGGGCACACAATAGACAGAAACACTGCATTAGAAAGTCCTCTAAACTTTGTCAAATTATTGCTCCACCCGTGCTGTGGGCCATGCAGTTGTCTTTGGTCTTCCTTGTCCTGTTCGGCTTAAAAAAACTACAGCTAACAAACACTGATGCACTGCCACACATAGCTTCATTATAACTGTTAAGTTTTTAACTGTTTGATTGCACCACAAAGACCAGAGCCATCTGACTGCCAAAGTAAATGTACATTCTGTGCCTGCATTAGAGGAAATGACTTAGTAGTCTGTCATCTTATATATTATGTGACTAACTTGCTTATTACAAAGACTTGTAGCAACATTAGCACTTATTTGGAGTTGTGTTTGCCCACCTGACAAATGTAAATGAAATATTTACTCTCTTGTTAGCTCTGTTCCACTCTACACCAACTGCTTAAAAAATATCTGGCTCTGTTATCTGCTAAATGCTTCATTGTGTGCACCCGCTAATCACTAACTTTATCTGTCTGCTGTTTGATGTGGAGAGGTAGTGTACAGTGGGTTCATCAGATGATTTTGCTGAAGACAGCTGCCCGCGGTTTAATGGAAACAGGGTTGATGAGAGCTCTGGGACTGAACTAAACAGCAGACTGGCAGGCTGAAAAACCAAAACAATTATCTAAAAGAGGCTAAAACGCTCAAAGTGGATCCTGTCAGACCAATCACAACCATTTATCAGTACATATGATTGTCAGGGTTCATGGATGAGCGCCGATGAAGTGAGAGCTCAAATGCAAGACACAGAGAGAGCAGAGGCAGTTCAGCGATTTTAATCCACAAAGCACGACAAACAAGCATGATCAAAACTCACAGTACAGGAAACTGGTAGTGCACACAATATATGACAGACGGGGAATGAACAGAAACACCAAACATTTATACTTAGGGGCTAACGAGCAGGGCGGCAGCAACACAGGTGACAGGGATCAGGACTAACAAGGCAGGTAGAGAGGAAGCAGAGGAAAACAGAGACGGGCAGGCAGGCAGATTACTGGAGGGGAACATAACACAAGTTGCAGAACACTAAACATGGACTATATCAAGGTAAGAAGTAACAGATCAGAATAGTAAAAACAACAAACTAATCCAGACACAAGTAGACAGATCACGAATACACTAATAATAAGGAACACAGACTGAAGCTAAGATTTAAACAGAACTCAGAGCAGACATGGGCAAAACAACACAGAGGTACACAGACCAGGAGTGAACACTTAAAACATGAACTAAGGTACAGGACTAAGAACTAAGACACTGAACAAGGAACTAAGGTACGAGACAAGACAGATACTAAGTAACTTGAAGATGCGGAGGAATAATAAAGGCTAAACAGAGACTAAAGCAGAATGATCAGATTAATAATGAAACTGGCAGAGAACATCTAGCATCTGACATCTAGCAAACAGACAGAACTCAAGCATGTCAGTGTAATACTGTAAGACTGGAACAGAACTGAAATCAGGAAAATACCAAAACACCAGCTGACGGATAATAACCAGATAAACAATAACATAGACTACACAACAGATACAGAAAAGACTGAAATAACAAAACTGAGAACTAAAAAAGGCAGGCAGGCACACGGTGTGACAATGATAGGATGACCAACAGTAGAGTCACCAGTCCAGTTTGAAAAGGCACACATCGCACATTTTGTTGCTCTAATTGGTTGTAAGCCAGGACCTGCGTCCAGTCTGCAGGTTTGTCTAAGTCAACACACCAGGCTCACTAAACTCAGATCAAACTGTCAAAACTGGCAGCACTGATCAAATATGAATCAAAATTCTGTACCTGCACTGCCTATTTCAGGCCTACAATGTTTTCAGAAACACATTTTAGTGTACTCTTTAGCTGTAATTTGAGCAAGTGTCTGACTAGGCCTGTCGATCTAATTTCGGTCTGTGCCCCTTAGAAAAACGAACTGAGAGGTTCAATATGCATTTGCATTAGTCTGGCTATCTCTATGAGTGACCTCTATCACATTACACATAGTAACTTGATCCGTTGTTAGTATAAAAATATGAATTAGTGCAGCTTAAAGTTTTGCATTTCTGTGCACTGGTATGGAAGAAGACAAGAGACAGGCAGAAAAAGAAGTAGAAACTGCTATGCTAAACAGCCAGACAGCTCTTGTTTACATACTGACTAAGCTAGTTATTGGCTAGCAGTGCCAAACTGCAAAAACTACAGGTGATAGTTGGACATACATTTTCATTTTGCGTCTTTTTTCTCATCTACCATATTGGCTGCTTGTAGCAGGGCTTTATTCTTTTACAACTTTAAGGTCTCAATGAGCCATTTGTGAGCAGCATCCTAACTTACAGTCAGTCGTTTAATAGTACATGGATTTGGGCTATTAAAGTTAAAACCCCATACTTTATTAATATGTAGGTTAGTATTACTGGTGCTTTGAACCAAGCCCATAACCCAGCCATAGTAACCCCTGGAGGAGCAACTTATTGTATCCCAGCTCCCTGCCTGTATGAGGCTGCCTGATTAATGGTCTGTTCATCTCTTCTCTAATTTGGCCTGACGGGGAGGGATGGGCGCTGTTATACCTGATAATGTGAGAAAAAGAGCAGACAAGGTCAAAAGCTCAACACGGGAGCAAGGTTTTTCCCACAAACACAGGACCTAAGATTAATGCAGAGAGCTGCATAGCCAGTATACTTTCCAGTGTGATTCGTGGATTTGAATATAATTTGGGAAGATCCCCTTCCCGCTGGTGTGAGAAGATAATTATCTTAAAATGTAAATATTTGTAATTCATCTGAGTCATTTCATACAATCAGTTTGTAGTCTCTAACCTTTCTTGCTGATGGTTTAGCACTGGCCAGCATCAGTCAGTCGAAGAGCTCTTCACTTCTTCTAAAAGTCAGACAGAATTGGACTAGACCCCAGGGCTGATTGATCCATTGATAGTTTTGTTAAATGAGCTTGGCATTCATTCAGATCCAGATCAGTACTTCTTGACTCAGCTTGTATTTAAAGCACCTATCCATTTGGGTTGGTGTTACAATCGTATGAATTATGAATGAAGTATGAAAAACCAGCCTAATGTTCAAATAACCCAGAATGCATTTACTCATTGTAGAGTTGGTTACTGGTATGATTTTATGCATATAGCTTCATCTTAACACAGCTTATTAGTCCAGTGATTTATTGATACTGTGTAATGGTTCCTTTTGATTTAAAAAAAAGAAGAAAAAGGTCAGAACAAAATTAACATAAATGTGAAGAGATTACCTACTTAGCAGGTCCGGCTGTTCCAGGTTAAATTTACAAACAAGAAGGTTAAGAGAGAATTGTTATGAATAGGCTAAAAAGTTAAAGCTTGCCACCTTTACATGTAAAACATACAGGCTCTGGATTAAGATGGGAGAGTTCACAAAACTGTATGTAATATGTTTCTCATATAGGCAGATTCTGTTGCTTAAAATACAGGCTTTTACAAATGTAGAAACAATCCACATTCAGAAGCAGTTCTCAGAGGTGTTCGGGGCTGATTCCCCATGTCACACAGGGCTCACTATGCTCAAAAGATTACCTAGATTTGTGGGATATTGAATTGAATTTTTTTTGACAAACTTACTTTAATTTGTCTAAATCAGCGGGTCAGGGATATTGGAAAGTAAGTAGGACGTTTGGTACTTTAGAAATTGTGAAGAGAGAGAAATAATTAGAAGAAAAAGAAAAATAGAAGAAAAGAAAATGATGAACTCCAACAGACTTTATTAGTGGCTATTATTATTCTCATAATAAGCCAGCCCCCTAAGACATCTGTATGTGCAGTTCAGTGGTCGTCAATCTGTTTCAATCATTTGCTGCTGTCAACACAGATTAGTCACAATGGCTGCACCGTCATGCGTCATCATCTAGTAGTAGGAATCCATGATGCGCTTCATGCTCATGAACCTCATGCCGCTCCAGCCCATGTTCATGAAGTTTCTGTACTCTCCAGGCTTCATGTACACCATCCTTCCTCTGTAGTGGGGCTGCTCGTACATCAGCCAGTGGCCTTCCATCACGTGGCAGGACATGAAGTTGGACATGTTGTAGCGGTCCATGATGTTATCGCAGTCCTCCATCATCTCATACATCTGTCCCTGGAAGTTCTCCCTCTCGTAGATCCTCATCCTGTAGGACCCCCTGTGCATGGAGATCATGCGGCAGGACCTGATGCAGTCACTCATGCCCATCATGCCCATGCAGTCGGCGTACTCGCCCCTCCTCATGAAGTACTGGTTTCCCATGAAGTTGGTGCGGTCGTAGACCATGAAGCAGCCCCTCTCCACCCTACAGGAGTGGCAGCGGCTCAGGTAGGAGGACATGTCGTGGCAGTCGTTCATGCACTCGTAGGAGCGGCCCTGGAAGTTCCTCTCCTCATAGAAGATGATTTTGCCCATCATATTCATGCTGCTGGAGGTCATCTTTGCCTGGTGTTGTCACTAGAAGTGATGCTGGTGGTGCTGCACTTGGAGCTGAACTGCTTCTCTACCTGTTGGAAACCTTCCTTTTTATACCTGACGAGCAGAGGGCCCTTTTGTGAAAACAGCCTGACGCAGCAACATACCATAGAAGCCCATAGAGGACTGAGGGTTGTCCACATTTAGAGCTGTTCCCCCAAAAGACCATAGAGAGGCAGTTTCACTTCGAATCCTGTCAGACAAAACAAAAAGGGTTAAAAAACAACAATAGCTCCTTTGTTACATCACTGTCGTGCACAAAACCATCCTAAGGTTTTTTTTGTCATTCTTAGCAGTTTGCCAGATCATCCCCTCCCCCATTGATGACCTACTGTTCTGCCACCGTGGCTGAACAAACCGAGGTAAAGGTGACTGGGTGTGTTATTTCCTCATCATCAGTCTCCTCACAGTCCACCTGCTTCACCTGAAGCCGTTCTGCTTTAGTCAAACAGATACTTTTGCCAGTGTGTTAGGGACAGTTAGGTGGATGGGAAGATGTTCTGCTGGCCACATTGGCCAAATCAGTGTTGGCAGGCTCTTCCCCACTATAATGTTTTACAAGTCAGGCACCGCTGTATGGGCGTAGAGGGGCTCCGTCACTTCCGTCTATTGCTGTTAGTGGAGGTGCAACAAGCAGTATCACTTTATATTAGACTGTCCAAGCACTCGGAAGAGAAGGAATGTCACTGAAAGCAAACCTAACCTCTTTGGTCTAACGCACTTGTGATAATTGCATGTGAAACTACCGGAACATAGCACGCCACACTGCAGAACACGCTAACTTCATTAACATTGCAGGAACATGAATTAAAATGAGACTTACGTCCATGAATAGAATAAAATGTACCCACAATTTCGACCCTTCTGCTCTGCTGCCTGCTGTGTGTATTGTGGGTAGTGTGGTCACGGTGAAGTTATTTCCCCTGCAGTGATTAAAGGTGGCTCAGTACCTGGTATTTTGTTTATCATGAAGTAATTTGGTGCAATAATCAGAGGGGGAAAGTAATTAAGTACATTCACTTTTCATGCAACTTGCTACTTCTACTCCGCTACATCTCAGAGGGAGATATTGTAATTTTTCTGACAGCTTTAGTTACTAGTTACTTCACAAATTAAGATTTTTACTTACAAAATATATGACGACTTCATAAAATATGTTTTGTTATAATTTAAACTACCCAACATTTTAAACAAGATTATTAGATTGACGTTGAAATTAACTGGCCACATCTTTGATTGTTTAAGTCACTTTTCATGTAGAAAAATGCACCTTCACAAATGTGAAGTTTTGTTGCTTTTCCTTTTAATTATTTTAATTTATTTGTAATAATTTTGAGCTTTGTACTGTTGGTTAGACAAAGCAGGCACTGTGAAGGTTTCCCTTTGGGCTCTGGATAATTGTGATGGCATTTCTCATGATTCATGCAGAAAATAATCAGCAGAGAAACCCATAGTGAAAATAATCATTAGCTGCACCCTGATACAAAATAGTTAAAATGAGCTCCTGCTAAATCCTGCTTTTACATTAATGCATGAGTGATAATAATACTAATCTCATGTATAATAGCATAACAGTCACAGGACAGTTTTCTTTCTGTAATGACTACTTTTAATACATTTCCTGATTATACTTACATACTTTTAGTACATTGTCAATGTAGCAGTTTTACTTGTAACAGAGTATTTTTGCAGTGTTATTATATATTATACTTTTACTTCAGTGAAGGATCTGAATTTTTCCACCACTGACACACACACACACACACACACACACACACACACACACACACACACACAGAGTAACTTCAATTATTATTAAAAGGGCAACCTGTTTATAATGAATACCATTGTTTAATAAATAGGAAAATTTGCTTTCTGTATTTTTAAATTCTGTTTATCATGTCAGCAAACCCCGACAGACAGAACCAAACTAATAGTACTTTTTACTAAGTAATTTTTAAAGCAGGTACTTTTATACTTTGTAATCAAGTTGAAATTTAAATTGAATACTTCTACTGTAGAGTGATATTTAGCACGGGTATCTGTACTTTTACTCAAGTACGGGATTTGTGTACTTTGTCCACCACTGGCAATAATGTATAGTAAGTGTATCTGTGGAGTTACACAACGTTGCCAGGCAAATTCACTCCTGCAGTTTGATCGTCTCTTCTTCACACGCTATGTTGTTACCTTCGGGGCATGTCTGTCAAGTAAATTTACATACCACAGCAACGCACATATGCACTCATACACACACCTGTGTGGAGCAGAATCAGCTTCCGTATAACGTTAACAACTACCAACTGTACTGTAGTGTAGCTGCAGTGTAGCAATTTCAGCATTCCTGTCAACATTTGAAAATAAGGTAAATTTAAGTCAAAATGTTATATTATCACTATCCACAACCTAAAGGATTATAAATTGTATTAGTATAATATTCTAACATGAAATAAAAGTGTGTTCATTTCATAGTATACTTTTTAGTGTAATGTTAATAGGCTACATAATGTTACTATATTCATTATAATTGTGTGTATAGTCTAGTTTCAGCCTAATGTTAAAGAGGTGGTATTATGCTTTTTGGCTTTTTCCCTCTCCTTTATTGAGTTATATATATCTTTTTTGTGCATGTAACAGGTTTGCAAGGTTCCCATCTCCCACAGAAAACTCTGCTCTGAACCGCTTGAAAACAGCTCGTTTGTAGTCCAGCCCTTCACTTCCTTTACTTGTGACGTCACAATGAAAACGCGTCATAAAGCTTGCCAAGCGGCTAGCGGGGTCAGGCACGCCCTCAAACCAAGCTAGTCTGAGCGGAGGCCCTTTGGCTCGACTCGCCTTTGTTTGGTTTTCTTGTAGAAATGTTGCACCTGTACCTGCTTCCAGGTACTTTTTTTCATATCACCTCACCTCCGTCAAGGTTCCAAGCGAGCTGAGGGATATTAAAATGATTGGTCAGAGAGAATCGTCACTTTTCACTGCATCAGGCCAGCAACAGAAAGTTTTATATTTTACAGTTTCCGTATGAAATTTCATCACTAAATCTACTTCTGAGAAGTTTTGAGGTGAGAAATCAGCTGTGTAGATTTTGAATATTGACAGTTTTACGAGAAGTGATGGCGGAACAAAAATGTGCTTGAATACTGTCCAAGTTGAGGAGCTCCGCAAGTGGCTGCGGGGGAAGCCTGCGCGGGAGGAGCGTGAGGCCGGCCAGCCTCCCGCTCACAGAGCCCTCTGCTCCCGCCGTCACACAGACCGCTGCAGCAACAACGGCAGAGGAAAACACAGCTGGAAGGTTTTCATACCGCTTATCTGTCTTTACATTCTGAGGAATGTTGAAACGCTTTCACTCAAAAAAGAGAAATCTGTGTGGATCGCTGGTGTGTGTGGCGCATTGAACATTACGTCGCGGCAGTTGTGTGTGGCGTCGCTATGACGACAAGCTACGTACTATCTCTGGGTACTGTCTGCAATGGAAAATGGAGCAGGGCCGAGTAGAGTCCAGTCTATCGGTTTGCGCTATGGTAGTATATCTTTGATTTGGATCACACTACCTTGTTTCTTACGACCCGCCCTTCTCTGCTTCTGATTGGCTAGTAGTCCTTACCTGCAAACTGCGCATGTGCAACTCCCAACAAAGATTTTGTACAAGTAAGATGCATCACTCTGTAGCTCAAGAGCGAAGCGTTCAACACACAGGGTGAAAAGAGGAGCTGCAGCAATGTGCAGTATGAGGGGAAAATATGGTGTTGTTTGTTTTTTAAACCATGTAAACCTGTTCTGGTACAACCCCTAAATAAGATTTTGAACCTGCAAATGAGCAGAATTCCACCTCTTTAATTCCAGTTACAGCAGTTTAATTTTGGGGGCTGTTTTCATTCATTAAATCCTTGTGTAAGAAAAAAGGTTTACATTGGTCTTTAATGTGTTACTTAATCTAACTTGTCAATCATAACTGTTCTTGCAGAACAATTTCAGTAGGTTTTAGTCTTTACTCACACACTGCTCGTAAATCCTTTGGTTTGCATGTATCTATTTGTAGCACATGCAAGTGAAATACCCTTAGAGCTCTGCATCTTCCGTCCTGGATTCCTCACACTCCTGTTCTTCTTGTTTTATTGGCAGGTGCTGTTGACCTCCCGTCACTGTTACAGCTAATGTTCTACATACTGCCCAGCCAGAAATTTTTATTTTACCAGAACATTCTGAGTACATCCAACATAGTGTCAAGGATGTCGCCATGTAATGTTACCAAAACGTTCCCAGACGGTCACGATGTGGAGTTCTTTAAAGAGTTGGGGGAAGTTATCTGGCAGATCTTCAGGGAACAATTGGGATGTTCTGGAAATGTTTAGGGGACCATTACCATTGGAGGTAAATGTAAATGCTCTTTATTTGTATAGCTCCTTTCTAGTCTTTGCGACCACTCAAAGTGCTTTTGAACTACATTGCATTCACCATTCACACACATTCATACATTGATGGAACAGCAATTCAGGGTTTAGCATTAAGCCCAAGGACACTTCGATATGCAGCCTGGAGGAGCCAGTGATTGAACCGTCGATCTTCTGATTGACGTGCAACCTGCTCTACCTCCTTTCCCTCTAGGTCTCTACACAACATTCCCATAACGTTTGCAGAACCTTTGGGGGACCAACCTAGAATGTAATTTTTTTTTTGTCCTATTTAGGTCCTTCCATCATGATTACTGAACATTTTCAGCACCTTTAGAAACATTACAGGAACCTTTAGAGGACCAAACTACAATGTTGTTTTTTTGCTTCTTGCATCACCTTTGCAGAATGTTTGCGGAACTTTTAATAACATTACAGGAACTTTTGTTGAACCTGTAGGCGACCAACCTAGAATGTTCTGTTTTGGTCCTTGCATCACCGTCCCAGAATGTTTGCCACATTACAGGAACTTTTGCAGTGCCTGTAGGAACCTAAAATTGGTATCTTGAAATACAATCAAAAAATGTTTACAGCATAAAACATTCAGGTATAATGCTAGACATTCTTAGCATTTCACTTAGAACACTATGTCAAATGTTGCCGTAGTAGGTGACAAAAGCTGACTTGATTAACAATTTAATAAAATATAGCATTTCTGTTTACTGCTGGACTTGATATCTCCAAAGCATTTTGGAAGTAACCAAATCTCAGTTCCTTTTATAAATCAAATATGTCTTATCAAAGCTGTAATGGAACCCTAACTATCAATCAATATGTCTGATTAACACATTGGTAACTATGTTCATGTTATCAGGCAACGTCCTTGACGTCCTCTGAAATGGGCAGAGATATCATACTAAAACCCCAGGTAGAAAAACAAAGCAGACAGAATCGTGAGACCTTGTGACAACAGGGAACCATATTGGAACGTTCTGATGAAGTTTGCAACAAAACTTTGTCATATGGCCAACAGAGGACCACGTGGGAATATTCTTCATGTCCTAAATGTCATCTTTGTAATGTTGCTATTTGACCATAACAGAACCAATATGGAAGGTCCCCCTAAAGTCATATAAGGAGTGTTGAACTGCAGCACTTTCATAACATGATTGCGGGAACGTCACCTCCTACCTGGGATGCCACCTGCTTTTATTGGAGGGGAATGTAGCAAACACATCAACAATGTCCGGCGGGGTTTTCTTTTTTTTTTTTTTTATAGAAAGGTTAGAAATACAGGAGATTTATGGTAAAATATTTAAACTGGAGGACAGCGGGATAGAAGAGTACGGGATAATCCCGGGATGATTGACAGGTAAGAGTTACAGGCATCCAACCTACCGCTCTCGTCGTATGCGTCAAATGAGGCATAACGCAGTTTCTCTTGACTGTCCCTCAGTAGGTTACAACATTACAAGATCCAACATCGCCCAGCCTGCTAGCCACATTAGCCGCACAATATGCAAATGCCAAGTTAACTTACCTACAAAATAAACAGTAAAACAACACAAACCAAGGCCAAACTTGCAGCCTCGAAGTTGAAGTCAGGTCACAGACAGCCCACTTCAATCCATCTTGGCACTTGAACCGTTACGTTGAAGTGTAGAACAAGAAGGTATGAACATAGCAGTTGTTGCGGTTGCTTGCCATCCTCTGCAGTTGGCTCATCAATACCACGGCATTTCAATCTTGTCGTTATTGTGTCAGCCCTGATGGGGTGTGAAAGATCTCAGCCCTGCCCTAATGCACAGACAGAGAGCAGACTATAGGAGAGAATAAAAGAGGCAAACCTGCATGTATCACCAAAGTTAAAACTAAAATGATGTTTTTCCTGGTAAGCTAATCTCATTCCCTGGTCCTGGTCTTCAGAACTGATTTTATAATGCAGGTTTCTACAAATGTAGAATCAATCCACATTCATGAGCAGTTTTGGGGGGCCACTGAGATGTAACTAGGGCTGACATTACATTACATTTACTGAGTATTTGTGGATTATACCTCACTGCACAGCAACGTTAACCACTGCACTGTAGTGATGTTATAACTAAATTTCCACAGAAAGCAACGTTAAAAACATCTGCAGGCATCCAACACACTTAGGGTTGCCACCTTCAATACAGGAAAACAAGGGACGCCTGCAGCAGCGGGGGCCACACCCCTTGCGGGCCCGGTAACCACAGGTCTGATGGTGTGCCCATGGTGGTATATCATGACTTAAAACATGTTTTCAGGAAAGTATTAAGATTGATACCAGTGGATGTTATAATAAGCTATCTGCTATTGAAATCGGTGTGAACAGATGAACTCTCTCTATCACAACTATCAAACAGACTAGTGGTCATACTGTCATAGCTGAGCTATGACAATAATAAACATAAGCCAACAATGTGTAACAGTGAGACCAGAGAAAAATAGGATGTGAATTGTGAACTTTATTAACTTAACATGTCCATAACATTAACTATAAATAGGCTTCAACAAATACTTTGACACAATTCAATTGAAAAGACTTTGGCAAAGGATTTCCATGAACATCATGAACATAGAAGTAGTAGGCCTTGTGTGTAGTATTGGAGCATGTTAGGCCTACTTCCTTTTATAAATATTTTCTAGTCAGATGTATAGTACTCGTGCAGCACGGAGTAGCTGTTTGTCTTTCAAACTGCTACAGTAACACTATGAAGAAAAATGCCTTATGAGCTCCACAGAGCACCTGTTCTTGCTGAGAAATTGCTAATGAACTTGAGGAATTGTAAAGGGTGGTGTGACCACAGATTTTGGCTAAAATATTTGTCATTGTTTGCATTAATACCATCCAAACAATGAAATGACACACAAATAATCTATCACATTTCTAAATTTAACTTAACCATATTTACTATTGGTCAGTAAATATATTTATGTATTGATGTTTTCAGTTTTTATTCAGCCTATTATTGTGGGCTTACCGTTCAGTTTCTCTCGACTGTCCCTCAAGATTACAATGTTAGTCCAAAATCGCTAAGCCTGCTAGCCACATTAGCCGCGCAGTATGCTAACTCCAGTATGCAAAAAACACGGCAACACTGACAGCTTCCAAGTTTGAAGTCAGTTCACGTACAGCCCATGGCAATCCGTCCTTGAAACGTTACAGAGCTTGTTATGTTTGTGGAACTTTTTCAAGCACTAATTTATTAATTTAACACGCCCTGAAGTGTAAAATATCCACAGTGCGGTTGTTGCGGTGCTTGCCATCCTCCGCGGTAGACTTGACAGACAGCGCGGTATTTCAGTTTTGTGGTTATCGTGACAGCCCTAGATTTAACATATCAAATGACCATTTTTCAGTACTTCATTCAAGCGAAGCGTATTGGTTGGTAGCCTTGAGATGTTGGGTTTCACTACCCAGCCCTAGATAAAAATGTTAATGATAGAATCAGCCTGTTGAGTGTATTGGAAAGTAAGAAGAAATGTTGATGAGGTACATTTAGAAATCATAGGACGAGGCGCTGTTTAGCTCGCCACCAGAGCGCATGCCCCTTGTGCGGAGGCGGAGGCTAAATCCTCGCTGCAGCGGCCCCTGGTTCTGGTATCATCCCCCTTATCTCACACTCTCTGTCTCTCCCTCCCGTATTTCCTGTCTCTCCGCTATCCTTTCATGTAATAAAGGCAAAAAGCCCAAAAAATATCTGTTAAAAGAAATCATAGGAAGAACAAAGAAAAGAATCAACTCCAACATTATTTTTATAGCAAAGTAGACTTTATTAGTGTTTCTTTACTTTGACTGCTATTATTTTCTTTTTCAGCCTGCACTCTAATCATTTTTACGTGCAGTTCAGTGGTTGTCAATTTTCTGCAGTCAGCACCCAGTATGTACTGCTGCAGATAAGTTGCTTAGTAACCGTCATGCGTCATCATCTAGTAGTAGGAATCCATGATGCGCTTCATGCTCATGAACCTCATGCCGCTCCAGCCCATGTTCATGAAGTTTCTGTACTCTCCAGGCTTCACGTACACCATCCTTCCTCTGTAGTGGGGCTGCTCGTACATCAGCCAGTGGCCTTCCATCACGTGGCAGGACATGAAGTTGGACATGTTGTAGCGGTCCATGATGTTATCGCAGTCCTCCATCATCTCATACATCTGTCCCTGGAAGTTCTCCCTCTCGTAGATCCTCATCCTGTAGGACCCCCTGTGCATGGGGATCATGTGGCAGGACCTGATGCAGTCACTCATGCCCATCATGCTCATGCAGTCGGCGTACTCGCCCCTCCTCATGAAGTACTGGTTTCCCATGAAGTTGGTGCGGTCGTAGACCATGAAGCAGCCCCTCTCCACCCTGCAGGAGTGGCAGCGGCTCAGGTAGGAGGACATGTCGTGGCAGTCGTTCATGCACTCGTAGGAGCGGCCCTGGAAGTTCCTTTCCTCGTAGAAGATGATTTTGCCCATCATATTCATGCTGCTGGAGGTCATCTTTGCCTGGTGTTGTCACTAGAAGTGATGCTGCTGCTGGTGGTGCTGCACTTGGAGCTGAACTGCTTCTCTACCTGTTGGAAACCTTCCTTTTTATACCTGATGAGCAGAGGGCCCTTTTGTGAAAACAGCCTGACGCAGCAACATACCATAGAAGCCCATAGAGGACTGAGGGTTGTCCACATTTAGAGCTGTTCCCCCAAAAGACCATAGAGAGGCAGTTTCACTTCGAATCCTGTCAGACAAAACAAAAAGGGTTAAAAAACAACAATAGCTCCTTTGTTACATCACTGTCGTGCACAAAACCATCCTAAGGTTTTTTTTGTCATTCTTAGCAGTTTGCCCGATCATCCATTAATATTGTCTGTGAAAGCTTATTATACAAAAAGATGTGCATATTCTAACAAACTTACATTATTTATAATCATTTATCATCAAAATGATACTCAGCCTGTAGCCTTCACAGTGTTGACATTCATTTGTTTGGGCTTAGTAATAATCAATTGGCCATATACAATTTCAGTACATTAGAATAATTTTAATTAATTTGAAATGTCACAGTATAAGGTAAAGGAATAACTTGTGCTACAAGTTTGTCCGATCACTTGCTAACGGGCAGAAATATCAAATCTCCTAATGTCATGATCCTGTCCTGAGGTTGTTTGTGTTTGTATGATTTTGGCCATGCCTTCCCTGTGTTTTGATTTTGGTTTCTGGGTTTTGTTTCTTGATTTTGAGGTTTGGGTTTGGTATCTACTTTTTAGTTCTGTCATCTGTTGAGTTTAGTTCACTGTGTGTTTACTTATTGATCAGTTCTGCATCCGTTATTTAGTCTGAGTTATTATTTATACCCTCCCACTGTTCGTTAACCCTGTTGTATATATGTTTGGTTTTTCTGTTCAGTCCCTGTTCGGTCATTGTCGTTTGATGTGTGTTCAGCCAGTTACCAGTTTCCACTGCCTGTGAGTTTTGTCTTGCCTGATTATAAACCCTGGAACTGTATCTTAGCTCTCTGTGAGGTGCATCTGGGCTCTCACCTGCGTTGCGCACCCTCGATTCTGACACTTAATGCATTAACATCCTGTTTACACCACACATGTACCAAATGCAGCAGGTCAGCAGTACGGACGAAGGTTTTTAAGTTGACAGAATGATTTGATTTTGATTCCAGCATATCCACTTAGGAGCATATCACCATCTTTATAGTGATGACCTGAGATTATTACTGTGCGCAGATACAGAGAAACAATATCCATTGAATGGTTGGTGCAGCCACTTCAACTTTTTTTTGGTTATTTGGGAGCATTGTTCTTGGCCATTTAGTGTTATTGTTAGGGCGATCATCTGCACTTCTGCTTCTTTGTTTCAGTACATATGATAATCTTTAGTATAGAGTATTGATTAAAATGTATTTTACCTGTTGCGTGAGACACGACTGAAAAATGAAGGTGAAAAAAAGCCGGCTATAGAAAGTGTTCCCTTTGTTGATGAAACGCCTCATGTCAGGTCAACAGAAGTAAAAGTGTCAGAGGAGGCACACGGTAGCACATGCCTGCCTTATTACAACAGAATGAAGTTGTGGTTGGTGGAAACTTGTGTACCAGGCAGCCCCAGCTCAAGACAACATGGGGTCTTAGGCAAGATTTTATTTGATTTCCTTACTTTGCCTGGAGCCGAGAACTAAGAAGTAAAACTATAAGCTATAGTATATAAATATATAAAGCTAGTATTTGTTTTAGGAGGACAACATGGTAAACCTTTGATATTGTACTTACACAATGTGCCAAGAACATTCCTGTAATCTATAAAGTGGCCATAATCCTTCCATGACCTTATAACAAAACACACATTTGTAGTAAGCATGCACTCCTTCAATAGAAGTTTATTAAAAATCATGCCCCGGACCTTAAATCTGAGATCTCAGTAAGCAAAACAATACCAGCCAACACTCAAAGGCAGTCATGCAATACATTTTTCAGTTCAGTACAGGTTGATGCAAGATGGCTTGTCAGTTATTTATTTAACAGGCAGTGCCTGGTGACCTGTTGACAGAATGCAGCATGAGAGCAGGTGAAACTTTTAAATGACCTGCCTGTTTTATCCTCGTGATTATTCTGCTGGTGAAATAAAGGGTCAACCGTGAGCCATTACACTGGCCAATACAAGTTTAACTGTTACCAGAATCAAAGTTTCTCTCAGCAGGGTACAGCTTGCGGGAGAAGAAGCCCCATATGTTGATGTTGGCTGACCTTTGAGACAGGATAGCCCCAGCGCTGGAGTCAGAAGCATCAACTTCAACCACTAAATGACGGGTCTGGGAAAACATATTATTTATACTTTTTCCACCAACAGTTGGTGTAAGTCACTGAATCTCCCGACAGAACACCACGGTTGAATTTCAGTGTTACAAAATATAACAAACTGTCAAGTTTCATCAAGTGAGGGAGGGAAACTAGCGCAAGCGTAAATGACAGCAAAAAATAAGTAATTAAGTACACTTAAGTATTGTACTTAAGAACTTTTGAGGTACTTGTACTTTACTTGAGTATTTCTGTTTTCTGCTACTTTATACTTCTACTCCAGTACAATTCAAATGGCTAATGTTAATGCTAGTATTTTACACTCCCCAATTACTAGTTGGTAGATTAATAATACAAAATAGAATCAACATATAAATTATGAAGTAGTAATATTGATTCACGAGCTACCCAGCAGATAAATTATATAAAGTTAAAATAAAACCACCTTTACCAGCTTCAACATTAAAATGATGTACAACTTCATGTGTCAATAAGTTTTATTTTATAATATATTGCATCTTTTTCTGAAATTCTATATTCATTCTGATGAGTAGATTTACTTTTGGTTCTTTATATATATTTTGATACCAATACCAAAAACCTTTTACTAAAGTAAAAAATTGAATTGTATTGATATGGTATTGTTACTATTAAGTACAAGATCTGAGTACTCAGTCATCAGTCCTAGTCCTAGTCAAGCATTAATAGTGATAATAAAAACAATTTAAAACCAACAAGCAGCCAGTATAGAGAAGCTAACTAAACGCAGTAGGCATCAACACAGAGGAAGTTGTGACTGAATCTCCAGTTTCATGTAAACATTGACCACATCACTTTCACTTCTTGTTGGCTCCAGTTTTTCTTCACTCAGCACTCTATTTTATTCATCTTGAAGTTTGTGGTTTAGATGTTGTCCTCCCTCGGCCATGACAGTGAAGATGAAAGTGTTTCCACCCTTCATCGTGCAGGACTTGCAGCAAATGAGGCCTGTTTTTCAAAAAAAAAAATTACTACAGATGAAGACTCTCTGAGGCCCCTAAGACTCAGTGGCTCAGCTGTATGTTAATTTGGGGAAGTTGCAAACAGCTGACTGAACCATAACAGTGGATGTTATCATACTGCTAACAACAGTTTGCTGTGTGGCCACTCCATTAAACTCAACATGGTAGTTAAACTGAGTTATGGCATCTCTGGCTGCTGTTCCAGGTTGAGCAAACAGCAAATGTTAGCACAAAGCGCTCATATTCGCTTGTGGTGTTTGTCGACAGAAAGTATAGGGTGTGGACTGAACAGCAGAGGAATTTCTGTGTTTTTTCGCTTTAGGGAATGTGTCCCTGTAATATAAGGTCTGTAGTATAAAGTCAGTGCTGTGAATTACCATAATAAAAGGAATAACTAGGGAACAGAATACCTTAATTATATACCTTAAAATGTCTGAAACCTAATTAGGATTGATTAAGGCAAATTTTGCATGGATCTATCAAATCTGATGATTTGTACTATAATGATTTTAGTAAAAAAAATATAGTGAATGTTCTTCAATTTACCTTTAGTTGTATTCGGACTTTAATACTGTAGTCTGTTCCTACTGTATGTTTACAAGAATTTTTAAGTATGAAAAAGAAGCAAATTAAGGGATAGATTAAAGGAACACCATAGAACATTTGAAATAATAAATAAAACATTATTCCTTTTACAAATGAAGAGTTGCAACAGAAACTGAATCATTCTGCTGCAATGAATTTCAAACGCGGACAGTTGTTGTTGGATGCTAGGGCAATTTTGAACCAAAGTTGTTAGATTGTGGCAAAACTGTGTGTTAAGCCTAATTTGACTACTAAATAATCCTAAATAAATAACGACTATAGTAAGTTGGATGCGGGTGACCGTTTTTTCATGTTCAGGAATTAATTTGCTTGGCAACGTTGTGTAACTTTGATTAGAACCCAGCAGCTAGATTGCTCAGAGCTGTAGTTGCCTCTCTGGATGGGCGTGCGCATCAGAAGCTCGAACACAATGAATCATGGTACATGTAGGTACTGCTCACATGGCTCCACAAGCAGGAGAACTCTGCTTTCTCTGTCAATATAGCACGCACAGGAATTTATTGTTTCAATACTGATCATCATGTCCACATAAAAGGTGCTGAACGTTCCCTGTAATTTTTAAAAAGTTACAATAGTTATTAGTTATTCATTTTATATTTATATTTTCTGCATTCCAGCAGAGGCAAGACCCAGGATGTATTCACTTACAGGATTTAATTTACCAAAATGTATTGACAGAATGCGGGAAAGTACACATCCTAAGATGTGGTCTTGACAAAATCTCTATTCTTTCAAGTAATCATTTTTTGCAATGTGTCCATTTTAATTTGAATTTGTGATCTTGCATTTACACAAACAACCTGAGATTTATTTAAGATGGCTGCCAACTCTCTCGCTGTTTTGATTCCCACGGCCCCATGCACCACCCCTGGGTTTCATTTTTGACTTATTATGAAGCTTTTCTTTTTGCACTCACCCATACATCATGACACTCCTGATAATACTGATTTCCACGTTTTGCCTTGAAGTTTGTTTATGTTTAGTTTTTACAATAAAACCATTAAGCTTATGTTTGCATGAGCTTCCTCTCTTTGTTACAAGCGGGAGCCAACTTGTAACATCAGGGATAACCGACACTGTTGGAGACCAGTGATGCTGTACTCACACCGATTCAGTTGAAAATCAAGTCTTCCAAGTCATTTGTATGTGGGTTGAAACGTTGAAACAGAATCAACTTTTGGAGGAACACAACCTGCCATGACACAGCAGCGGCCAATCACATAAGACAGCTAAACTGCTCCACAGCCAGCCTGAAATATTGCTGAAACTGGGTGTTATGTAGGATATTGACGTAGAGTTCATGGACAAAACAATGATAGTCTACCAGTTTGTGTGGTAGTGAGAAACTAGTGAGAAATAAAACAATATTTTATGATTGTTTCCACACAACTCTTTGCTAATCGCCAAAATGATTTGGTATAAATACAGCCTAACTGCTGTTCTTTCTTTCTACAAGGTAGCTTAAGGGGAGTTTCCACCAAACATTCAATTCAATCAGACTGAAACTTGCAAAAGAATGTGGTCTGCAGCATTCTAAAACCTGCCAGTTTACACAAATGTGACTAGACAAGACGGTGCATTATTTCCATAGCAGTGACTCTGTACTGTAGTGTTTCTGTCAGCTTTCTGTGGCTCAGCTCCATGTTGCCTTCATGGAGAACAGGACATCTGAGTATCATCTATAAAATTTCACCAATGTAACTTTACTGAGTCAACTCAGGGAAAGATCCACCAGGACAAGGCACATAAGGGATGTAGGAGCGCCATCAGAAGTCTCTTTGCTAGGAAGACCAGCCCGAATGATGGAGGGCTATTAGCGTTTGATCACATCTCCCTGTTGATAGCCAAATGCGGATAGCTGTTCACAATCGGAGAGAAGTTGGTTCTACCTGCCGTCAGAGATGTCATCGCTACCTTGGAGCGCAATCCCACACAGTTGCTGAAATCCATTTCACTCAGCAAGGACACTGTGGCACGCAGAAGAGGTGAAATAGGTGCCAATATAGAGGAGCAGCTGCGCACGATCCTGCGGGACTCTCCATTCAGACTTCAGCTGGATGAGACAACAATGCTCTGCTGATGGCCTGTGTCTGCTGTAAGGCCTCCAACAATCAGGCGATGGCTGAAGATTATTCTTTTCTAAATATCTGCATCTTTCTTTTCTGGAAATTTAATTTCTACAGGAGATGTCATCTTCTCCATACTGATGACTGCTGGCTCTCGAAAGGAACCGCCTTGCTCGTTTTTGTGAGCTGTATGACAGCATCGTGGAGTTCCTGGAGGAGGTTGGTGCAGCTCTCCGAGAAAAGGTGTCATCCAAACACTGCAACATCATCATACCTCTTTTAGGTTTTCAGATTCACCGTTTTAGTCTGGACAGGAGGTGCAAACGTAGCAAAAGCTCTGCGTTTTAAAACAAAAACGTTGTGTGGATGTAGCCCCAGTCTCCTTTTGGTGGTATAATTCCTTGTCACCTGACCCAAAAGAAGCATTTTTGTCTAAGAATAATAATCATAACAAGTGCTTGAAGTGGG